CCAAATGAGACTTTTAAATACATAGAACAAACTGAGGGTTGCTGTTGAAAGGTGGGTGGGGGGATGAGCTAGTGGTAATGGGCATTAAGGAGAGAACTTTTGGGGATAGGCACTGGGTGTCATCTGTAAGAGATGAATCACTGGGTTCTACTCCTGAAGGCAAGACTACATTGTATGTTAACTAACTTGAATTAAAAACAAACCAACAATGGGCAGAAGGCACTAATAGACACTTGTCCAAACAAGACATCCAGATGACTAACAGACACATGAAAAGATGCTCAATGTCACTCATCATCAGAGAAATACAAATCAAAACTCCAACGAGAAGCTACCTCACTCTGTCAGAATTGCTAACACAAGTGACAACAGTTGTTGGCGGGGATTCGGAGAACGGGGAACCCTCCTGCACTGTTGGTGGGAATGCAGACTGGTGCAGCCACCCTGGAGAACAGTATGGAGGTTCCTCAAAAAGTTAAAAATAGAACTATACTATGACCCAGCAATTGCACTACTAGGTACTTACCCAGAGGATACCAAGATACAGATTTAAAGGGGTACATGCACCCCAATGTTTATAGCAACATTATCAACAATAGCCAAACAATGGAAAGAGCCCAAATGTCCATTGACTGATGAATGGATAAAGAGGATGCGGTATATATATATAATGGAGTATTACTCGGCAATCAAAAAGAATGAAATCTTGCCATTTGCAACTACGTGGATGGAACTGGAGGGTATTATGCTAAGTGAAATTAGTCAGAGAAAGACAAAAATCATATGACTTCACTCATATGAGGACTTTAAGAGACAAAACAGATGAACATAAGGGAAGGGAAACAAAAATAATATAAAAACAGTGAGGGGGACAAAACAGAAGAGACTCATAAATATGGAGAACAAACTAAGGGTTACTGGAGGGGTTGTGGGAGGGGGCATGGGCTACATGGGTAAGGGGCACTAAGGAATCTACTCCTGAAATCAGTGTTGCGCTATATGCTAACTAACTTGGATGTCAATTTCAAAAAAAAAAAAAAATAATAATAATAATAAAAAAAAATTTAAAAAGTGGGTTCTTTGCAAAGATCAATAAAATTGAAAATCTTCTAGCAATTTTGACAGTGAAAAATATGAAAAATAACACATTATATCAAGAATGAAACAGCATGTCACTACAGACCCTACAGACATCAACAGACTATCAAGGTAATACTATGAGCAACTCTGTGGGAAGAAATTTCATAACTCAGAGAAAATGGACCAAACTCCTCGAAAGCACAGCGGGCCCCCAAGCATCCTATATAAAATGATGAATCTGAGTAGCCATTCAGATTATTTTCAAGTCAAAAAAAGAATTGTGGAGGCCTAGGTGGTTTCACAGGAAAGTTCTTCCAAGCATTTACAGATGAATTAAAACCAAGCTAGGTGCACAAAATAAAGTTACAGAAGAAATTTTTGAAAATCTGAATATAGACCCCATTTTAGATGATAGTAGGAAATTATTTTATGAAGTGTCTAATGGTATATTGGTTTTGTAGAAAAGCCAGTGTCATTAGTCACATGACTACACAATTATGGACTCTATTTGCAACTGGATGTGCATCCATGACCAAGTCATTAGTGGACACAATTCTGCAACTTCTGTATACCTCTAGTTTTGAAAGAAGTTATTTGTTTTCCTCTTCCTATCTATACTCTCCCAGTTGGGAGGGACATGGACACTCAGTGACCCATTGTTGACCCAGCAGTGACAGTGATGTCATAGTGCATATAGAAGGAACATGGGCCTTTGAAAGGTCTTTTGGAGCAAAGACTCCTTGAATCCTGGCTCCACCTGCTTCTGATGTTACATGAGAGAGAAATGAGATATACTTTGGTCATAAAAGGGGGACTCTGTAGGTCCTTGGGACAATGACCAGTTGCTATATCTAATACGTGTTTGTTCTACAGGCTGGTGGTCCCTGTCCTCAGGGACTCTCTCTCTCTCTCTCTGAAAATAAATCAATAAACTTAAAAAAGATTTCTTTATAAAAACAGAAAACCGGAAACTCCAGGTCCTCTGGACTTTCTTCCAGAATTTCAGAGTGGTGGATGCAGACATTTGCTGGGGTGACAATAGAATGTTCTGAAGGAATATAGAATAGGCAGGTAAGAAAGATCGGGAGGAGGGGGTGGCTGGCCTGGCATGGTGACTTAACCCCTGTCAGGTGAAGGAGCAGGAGGCAGACCCTAGCAACAAGATCATCTCCCTCCCTCTGTTGTTTCTTTCTCTAATGCGTGGTTATGTCAAAAGATCTAAAGAGATCTGTACCAGACTCTTACCAGTGGTCATTCTTGGAATGTGGGCTTTGGGGGAAGTCCCGGACCTCACAGCAAATTTCTACTTCGTATCTATAGACTTCTAGATTATTCTATAATGAGCATGAATAACTACTTTACCATGAAAAAAGAAAATATAAAATTAAATGCCAGATTAGTTGACATCAAGGCTCACCCGAGTTTCCATCTGTGCACTGGTCCTTGGTGTAGCCCGAGATCTTGAGTATATGCCTTTTGGTGACTGCCTGCTGCCCATCATGCTGCACCTGGCAGGTGAGCACCACGTCCTCTGTGTGGGTAGATAAATTCACCAGGAACAAGCTCGTCCAGTTGAAGGTCCCATCCTTGTTCTCTATGAGGTTCGAGGCCGTCGAGGCCGATTCTGTTCGGGACACGTTTCCGTTCTCCAACCAGGTCAGCTGGAGGCGCTGGGGGTAGAACTTCTTCACTTGGCAAATGACCTTCACCTGGTCCCCTGTCACGGGTTGCTGGGCAACCTCCAAGGTGGGGGGAACTGAAACAGCACAGAGCAGAAGCTCTGACCTCATGGAACAGACACATCACCGGGGAGGGGCTCGAGAACTTAGCAAGGGAATGACCCAGATCAGTGCTAGGCATACAGCTGGTGCTCAAACACTCAGGGTAGGCTTTGCATGCGAGTGAAATCCCTAAGCACAGTGCCCAGTACACAGTAGGTGCTCAAGGTACCTACTGGTAGCTGCTATTAGGGTAATGATGAGTGAAATCGAGCCCCCAGCATGCATTTGGAATCGAATAACTAGCAAAATCCATGAAATCACCAAGCACGCAGTGGCTGGATTACAGTAGGTGCTCAATAATTGGAGTGGCTATGGGAAAGTAAATCAAACTACCTAGCACGGTAGGTGTTCACCTGGAACTGCCGTTAAAACAGGAGGAGGTGACAGTACCCCTGGGTGCCTGGTGATTGGGAGGGTCTGTCAGGAGGCAGGTTCCAGGGGATGGAAGGCTGGGAGCACGGAGTGGGGGAGGGGCAGGCTGGGAGGCTTGGGGGCCGGAGCTGGGCTTGGGCCGGGGGTGACGGGCATCTACCTCGGAGGGTCTCGGACAAGTTGGCAGTCCCACGAAGAGGAGGGCCCCCCTGCAGGGTCACGTGGGCCACCTCGCAGGTGACCTGGGAGCGAACGTCCCCCGGGGCCAGCGGCAGCGTGGTTGTGCTGGAGATGCTGTAGGAAGCGCTGTCTCCCTCTGGGTCCACGGTGGTCTGGGAGGCTGCCAGCTCCTTCCCGTTTTTGAACCATTTCAGGGTGACGTTTCTGGGGGAGAAGCCGTGGGACTCGCAGGTGAAGCTCACAGTCTGCTCAGGTGTGGCCCTGGCCGTGGGACCCGACACCACGGGGGGAGAGGGTTTGGCTACAAGAGGAGCATTTACGAGTAAGCATGACTCTGGTCATCCTCACCAATGACGGGTATGTGACACTGTGCAGAATCCTCGCATGGATTATGTTTTAGCCCTGCTGATAGTGTTGGGAGGGCAGTGTGGAGACCGACTGAGGCAGGGGCAGGGCCCGCGTGCAATTCGAGCCTCAGTTCAAAGTCCCCGGTGTCTTCTCTGCCAGGGGACCTCCCACCAATCTGGGCACAGGAAGGACATTTCTGGTGGGTGTCACTCTCAGTCTCCACCTCCTCCTCCTACAGTACCCAGAACAGAACTTGCACATAGCAGGTGCTTAGTAAATGCCGAGTGTGGAGGATTCTGGACACATCGACATGAGTGCTATTTGGAGGCAGATGTGAGGATGGGCCTTGTGACTAGCATGTCTCCCAGACTTTCAGTCTCTCATCCTGGGAACCAGAGGGTTGGTCAGGATTGAAAAAGGGAAGAACTGGGAACCTGCAGACCGCGGTTCCAGATTTTCCCACCGTTTATCAGCCGTGGTGTCTTCAGCAAATAGCACAGCCTCTCCAGGCCTCAACTTTCGTGATCTGTGGAAGGGGCTGATTCAGGGGCACCCATAACAGCACCTGATCCTTATCTGCTGCTCAGACAGTGGAGGGCATTCTTACTGACTTGTCACAACCAGGGGAAGGAGCGATACTCACCGCTCACGGTGACCCGGGTGCCTGGTCCAGACTTAAACTCCTCATCGGGGTTCCCTTTCTGGAACTTCACACAGTAGTAGGTTCCCGTGTCTTTTGGGGTGATGTTACTGATGCGGATGGAAAAGTCCAGGTTGCTTCGCTTTGTGATGTCTGTAACAGTTGTTACTCGAGAGGAGTGGGGGTCTCCTCCTCTGGAACTGAAGATTAACTCCCGGCCTGGCCCTGTGCCCCTGAACCACTCGACCTTCCCAGAGGGGAGCAGGGAGGTCAGGGTGCAGTGAAGAGTGGCTGTCTCTCCGGCTGCCACAGACACCGACTTCTCAGGCTGGATCACCCGCAGTTCTGTCTCACCTGCCACACCTAGAGGGAGAACAAAACAGCTACTTATGATCCTTGTGTGATCCTGTCCGTCTGCTCAAGTATTTATCCACAACAGCTTTCACTGAGTGCACACTGTGAGCCCAGCACGCTGCGTGTACACGGCATGTAGCCCTCGCGACGAGCCTGTCACACGGGACCCTGTTACAGACGAGGAAAGCAAAACACAGAGAGATTCGGTAATGTGGCACATGCAGGCGGACGGCCCCAGTCCTCTCTGAAAGCGTCGTGCTTCGCCAAATGATCCTGCTTGTCTGTGTTCTGGCCCCTTGGGGTGTTACACTTTCTGGTCTCTTGCATTAGGTGGGGCCGTGAGACTTCTTTAGACCATTGTGTGTGAGAGGAAGTGATGAATGTAGTTTCTGGGCTGTGTGTTTAACTTCTGGAACCTCTATGGATCAACTTCCCTCCTTCACAAGCAGGTGCACATGCTGGCGTCTTTCCCAGCAGCCTGGATGCTTGAGAGACAGTGATGGGCAGAGCTTTAAACACACCATAAGCATGTAGTTTCATAAGAAGTAAGACATTCAAAAATATGTGGTTTTTTCCCCCTCATAGCGTAATCATTTTAGTTTCTGAATGCTATTGCAATACATTTAAAAACTTAATGCCAAAACCTACAGAAGTTTATTATCTTACAATTCTTGAGGCCAGAAGTCCAATATTGGTGTTGCTGGGTTAAAATCAAGGGTCAGCTGAGTTGCGTTTCTTCTGGAGTTATTGTCTTTGTCTTTCCAAATTCTAGAAGCTGCCCACAATCTTTTTCTCATGGTTTCCCATCTTCCAATCACTCCAGATTCATGCTTTCTTGTCACCTGTCCTTCTTTAACTTTGATTTCCATGCCTCATTCTTATAAGGACTCTTGTGAATATATTTGGGCCACTTTGATAATCTCGGATAATCTCCCCATTTAATAGTCTTGAGTTAATCACTTCTGCAAAATCTCTTTTGCCATGTAAGAGAAAACTATTCACAGGCTCTGGGTAGTATAATATGGACTTCTTTTAAGGGGGGATATTGTTCTTTTTACCACATATGTATCCCCAGACTATTACAGAAACCAGTTACTATAAAAAACCTTTGTATGAGCCATTGTTATACAGGCTAAGAAGCAGGCAACTTACTGGAATCTGGAAGAAAGTCTTTTCAAGCAGTGAACTGGTGAAGTAGTTTGTGAAATAAAATAAGAAATCAACAACAGAACCAGAAACTGGACATTCTCAAATATATAGAAACAAAACAACTCCTTCTTACAAAATAAAAACTTAAGCAAAAAAGAATCACAAGGGAATTTAGAGAACACCTTGAGATGAATGAAAATGGAAACACAACTTCCCCAAACTACAGTCTGCAGTGAAAGCAGCTCTAGAGGGAAATTTATGGCTGTAATGCCTTCATTTAAAGAGAGGAAAGATCACAATTCAGTTAACAACTATGGACCTTGAGAAATCAGAAAAAGAAGAGGAAAAATCAACCAGAAGGTAGCAGAATGAAGGAAATAAAAAGGAGTAGTATCTCTATGCTATATATAAATAAAATGTGAAAAAAAAAAAAAAAACCAACAGAGGGGAACCCTTTTGCACCGTCGGTGGGAATCCAGACTGGTGTGGCCACCTTAGAAAACAATATGGAGGTACCTAAAAAAAATTAATCATAGCACTACTTTATGACCCAGAAATTGCACTACTAGGTATTTATCCAAAGGATACAAAAATGCTGAATCAAAGGGGCTTATGAATCCCAATGTTTATAGCAGCACTGTCAACAATAGCCAAGTTATGGAAAGAGCCAAAGTATCCATCAACTGATGAATGGATAAAGAAGATGTGGTATGTGTGTGTGTATATATACATACAGGCAATGTATATAATACTATATACATATAATACACTAATATATATACTATATAGTAACATACAATATACATAGTAAATACTATAATACAATGTATATGAATATGGGCACTTGTTGGATGAGCACTGGGCGTTGTATGGAAACCAATTTGACAATAAATTATATTTAAATAACAAAAGAATGAAATCTTGCCATTTGTGACGACATGGATGGAACTAGAGGGTATTATGCCAAGTGAAATAAGTCAGACAAAGACAGATACCAAATGAGCTCACTCATACATGGAATTTGAGAAACTCAACAGATGAACATAGGGGAAGGGAAGGAAAAATGAGATGAAAAGAGAGAGGGAGGCAAACCGTAAGAGACTCTTAAATACAGAGAACATACTGCAGGTTGCTGGAGGGGAGAGAGATGGGGGGATGGGTTAAATGTATGACGGGCATTAAGGAGATCACTCTTTGAGATGAGCACTGGATGTCATATGTTAGAGATGAATCACTGGGTTTTACTCCTGAAGCCAAGACTACAGTGGGTGTTAACTAACTTGAGTTTAAATAAAATCTTAGAGGAAAAATAAAACCAATATCAACAGCCAAAACCAATATCAACAGTCAAGACTCAAGTGCATTTCTCTAAGTGAGTGGTGACCAATTCAAAAAGGAAATTACCAAACAATTCCGCTTGCACTAACATCATACTTAGTAGTAAATTGTTTTCATGGGGATGAAAGGCTGTACACCAAAAAGTGTAAAACATTTTTGCTGAAAGAAATGAAAGAAGACATAAATAAATGGAAAAACTTCCTCTGTTCGTGCATTGGAAGACTTGATATTGTTAAGATGTCAATACTACCTAAAGCGATCTACAGATTCAATACAATTGTTATCAAAACCCCCATGGCAGTTTTTTTTTTTCAGAAATGGAAAAGCCTATTCTAGAATTCATATGCAGTTTCAAGGGTCTCAGATCACCAAACAATCCTGGAAAAGAAAATAGTTGGGAAACTCATACTCCTTGATTTAAAAACCTACTACATAGTATAATAATTAGAGTACTGTAGTACTGAAAAGGAATAGAGATATAGAGCACTGGAATTGAATGGAGAGCCTAACAATAAACCCTCACATATATGGTCAAATGATTTTCTGTTTTTTTTTTTTTTTTAATTTTTTTTTCAACGTTTATTTATTTTTGGGACAGAGAGAGACAGAGCATGAACGGGGGAGGGGCAGAGAGAGAGGGAGACACAGAATCGGAAACAGGCTCCAGGCTCTGAGCCATCAGCCCAGAGCCCGACGCGGGGCTCGAACTCCCGGACCGTGAGATCGTGACCTGGCTGAAGTCGGACGCTTAACCGACTGCGCCACCCAGGCGCCCCAATGGTCAAATGATTTTCAACAAGAGTGCCAAGACCATTCAGTGGGGGAAAGAGTGATCTTTTCAACATGAAAAGAAACACGGGAAAACTGAATATCTACATCCAAATAAAGAAGTTGAACCCTCACCGTACTCTGTATAGAACAATGAGCTCAAATTGGATGAAGGAACCTAAATACAAGAGCTAAATCAATAAATCAATAAATCAACCAAATTTTCAGAGAAAAAACTGTAGGGAAAAATTGTGATATTGGATTTGGCAATGATTTATTGTATAAGAAACCAAAAGCAAACATAACAAACTAAAAAATATTTAAAATGGACTTTATGAAAATTTAAAAAAATTGTTGCAGGGGGTCCCTTGATGGCTCAGTCCAGTATGTGCCTAACTCAGGCTCAGGTAATAATCTCATGGTTCATGGATTCAAGCCCTCCATTGGGCTCTGTGCTGGTGGCGCAGAGCCTGCTTAGCATTGTCTGTCACTCTCTCTCTTTCTGTCCCTCCCCTACTTCTGTGCTCTCTCTCTTAAAATAAATAAGTAAATTAAAAAAAAAAACAAAAACAAAACTTTCAGGCAGCAGAGGACAAAATCAAAAGTGAAAGAGAACTCACAGAATGGGAGGAAATATTTGCAAAGCATATGTCTCAGAAAGGATTAATAACCAGCATATAAAAAGAACTCATACAATTCAACAACGAAATAATGAACAGCCCAGTTGAGAAAAAGGACCTAGGACTCCAATAGACATTTCCTCAAATAAGATATTCAAGTGGTGAGTAAGCACATGAAAAGATGTTGGACATCACTAGTCATTAGAAAAATGAAAATCCAAACGACAGTGAGATACCACTTTCCCTGAGAATGGCTTTTACCAAAAACAAAATAAAGAAAAACCAAAATACATACAAGAAAATGAAAAATCAGGATAAAAGGATTGGGTAAGCTGTGGATAAGTTGAAACCATCGTACATTGTTGGTAGGAATAAAAAATGGTGCAGCCACTGTGGAAACTGGTATTTTCACTAAAATTGAAATATAGAATTTACCATATGATCAGAATGTTCCATTCTTAGGCAAACACCCCCCAAATTACTGGTATGTACTCAGATCTTTGTCCATCCGTGTTCATAACAGTATTTTTCATGATAACCAAAAGGTAGCAGAAAAAATTCATATCTATCCATAGATGAGTGGATAAAAGGTGTTGATGTAGATATATACAATGGACTTCTTCTATTCAACCTTAATAAGCAGTGAGAGTCTGATATGTACTATACAATGGATCAACCTAAAAAAATATCACTTTAAGTAAAATATGCCAAATACAAAAGGACAGGCATATGATTCTACTTACATGAAGTATCTATAAGAGACAGATTCATAGATACAAAAAAATAAAATAGAGATTATCGGTGGCTGTGGGGGAAGACGGAATGGAGAATTCTTGTTTAATGGATGCAAAGTGTCTGCTTCGGTTGTTGAAAAAGTTCCTGAAATGCACAGTGGTGCTGACTTCCCAACTTTGTGAATGTACGTGAGGCCACTGGCTTATACCCTTAAAAATGGTGAGAGGGTAGATTTTATGTGATGTGTAGTTGAGCATAATTAGAAATATGGCTTCAGAGAAGGTGATCGCCCCATGTAGAGCCTTTGAGTTGGACTAAATGGCTCGAGGACAAAGAAAATGTATTGTTCCAGGGACTGGTAGATTTGAGAAACCTGTCCTTGAAGGAGGACATAGCACCATGGGAACACCTAAACAAAGGAAATAGTAGTCTGCAAATTTTTCCGTGTTCTGAAAAGAGTTGTGGGAGGTGGCCTATGTTGGGACCTTGAGTTCTACATTGAAGGGACACAGTCATTTTGGGGGCATTCATTTCACTGCAAGTGCAAGACTTTACAGTTGGATTTCACTGCCTAAGTGACTAGCCAATCTCTCGAGACATAGAGAAATACAAAATATTTCCTTCCTTGTGAAGTGTCCTAAAAACTAGGCAGGCATATAAATCAGAGGAGAGGGCTACTGGAAACCACACACACATACATCCTGTGTTCTTTTCTATTTCTTAGCTACTCAGGGAGAAAAGGTGTGGTTCGCTCTTACAGAGTGTGAGCTGGTAAAACCCTGCACTGAGCACAATTTGAAACCAACCATGCCTCCTAAGGAGGGTACATGCTATCACAGGCAAGTCTTGGGTGTGCCAAGAGCATCAGGTGGTTTGATCTGTAAGTCTGGAGAGGAAAGTTGGGGTCAGGAAGCCGAACTGCTAAGACAAATGGGAAGAAATAGGCATGCATCTTGGGGAAGGAAATGGAGGGAACAGGGGAGGGAGGAGGTGAGAGGGATTAGAGGGTCAAGAGGAGCCAGGGAGAGGTGTAAACTCTGCCATCTGTGTATCTGTAATCCTCATATTTCCATGTCTGGCCCAGGCCTTGCCCTTGAACTCTGGATTTGTATGTCTGACCAGCCACTCACCACTTTACTTCGATAGAGGTAAACTTCTCACAGTTAACTCGTCCCAAACTGAACTCGGTTTCCAATACGTCCTTGTACATCTCAGCTGAGGCACCTTTATTCTCCCAGACGCTCAGGTCCAAACCCTCGGGAGCCTCTCTTTCCACCCCAAATCCTATGTATCAGGAGATCCCCTTCTGCATGCACCCACAATCTGACCTCTTTGCCCTTTCTGTCCTGGCTGCAGTCCTGGTGCACACCATATGTACGAATGTGGGAAGCTCTTGAATGCTCTAGTTCCTTCTATGTATGCCATGTGATAGTCTAATCTCAACCAAATCCTAGAATAAGTTAAAACTCATGTCGCATCATGCCACTTGTGTCTTCAAAACTTTGCAATGGCAACCGTTTCACTCAGAGTAAAAGCCCAAATCCTTGAACAGAGCGGGAGGGTCAGGGCATGTGCACATGCTGTTCCCATGCTGTTCAGGAAGGCTTTTCTTCCAGAAGATCACATGGCCCACACCCCCACCTTCTTATAATCTTGCTCAAATCTCCCTTCTCAGTGATGCCCACCCAGGCTGCCTCTTTATTTAAAAAAAATTTTTTTTAATGTTTTTATTTATTTTTGAGACAGGGAGAGACAGAGCATGATTGGGGGAGGGGCAGAGAGAGAGGGAGACACAGAATCCGAAGTGGGCTCCAGGCTCTGAGCTGTCAGCACAGAGCCTGACGCGGGGCTCGAACTCACGGAGTGTGAGATCATGATCTGAGCTTAACCGATGCTTAACCGACTGAGCCACCCAGGCGCCCCCAGGCTGCCTCTTTAAATACATCCTACCCTAAAGAGTCTCTCATTATCTTAGCCATCTGTACTATTGTGTTTCTTCTAACACTCATCGCTTTCTGGTATGTTGTGTTATTTGCTTAATTGGTATATCTGTCGTTTCCAGTCTTTTTGTTCATCATGATATAACTTCCACGAGGGCCACTACTTTCTCTCTTTTAATAACCAGTACTCCGTAAGCTCATGTAACAGTTCTTGGCACCTTGTAGTTATCCAGTCAATATTTATGCAATGCGTGAATTTGCATAGGGCAATCCCTTTCTGAGAACTTGGAGTCTGTTTTCGGTGGAGAATTTCTCAGGAAATTATGAGAAGCCGAGTGTCCCATGAAGATGTCTTGGTGAAAACAATCATTTGCATATACCCAGGAAGCAGAAGAGCCCCAGAGAAGCAAACCACAAATGCTGTCACCCACACTCGCCTTCCCTACACCCACTGGCAGATCTGCATACTTCAAGGGATGGATGTGGGGCCACAGGGTTTGAGAAGAGCAATGGTTAGACCCGTGAGATCTAGACTCAGACTGCCTGAGTTCAAACCATAGCCCTGCCTTCACCACGGAGTGACCTTGGACTTTTCTGTGCCTACTTTTCTTATCTGTAAGCTAAGGGACAAAAATGTCTACCTCGGATACAAAGATCCTAGGAAATAACAGACGCGTGCATTTCCAAGTGTGTGTGGCACAGGGTGAGTGCTCAGGAAATTGGAAAGTGATTATGCACGAGATTTCCTGAGGCCTGGAGGCATCAGCCGATGCTAGATAATTGGGATCAGGATATAAGTACCGGTGTAGATCGCATAGGCAGGAATCTCCACTTCTTGTATCCCCTTTTCCCCTCTTCACTCTGATCCAGCATGGAAGAGGACCACCAAGGCAGTAATACACAAAGTTCTCATCGTTTCACCCAGAAAGAAGTTTACTTGCCTTAAGAGCTTGGTGGAGAGTGAGCAGTAAGTTTAAAGAAGTAGAAAAAGAGGGTGACTAGCTGAGAGGCAGCTAACCAAACGTGTGTTCAATGTACATTTCACGCAGAGTGGACGTGATGTGAAGGCAACAGTAAGGAAAGCACTTTCAAATATCCTGTGTGTGTGCACACACCCGTGTGTGTACCCTTCCTCATGCCCACTCCTATGTGTACACACACAAGTGCATTCCCAAGTATACATGAAGTGTGGCCCAGCATGCTAGCATACAGATCACTTTGAGGATTTCATGAAATTGTTATACATGTTGAAAGCTCAGTAAAAGATTTGGTGCATGAGGATCACCCAACACATCGTTAACCAGAGTTTGGGAGGACACACAGCAGAACTGGAACTCTGGAGACCTCGGAGTGTGGTAAGTGATGCCTCTTCTTCTGTTTCCCTCTCTGTATTTTCTGATGTTTGTTTAGTTGGCCTCCACCGAGAAGCCGAGCAGCATAACACGGTGGAAAGAATGAACCGCGGAGCTGGGTGGCCTGGATGTGAATCCCGGCAGATACACTGACTTAGGTAGCTGACATTGGGCCATTAACTCTCTCTGCCTGAATTTCTCCATCTGCTGATCAGGAGTACAGTCCTAGCTATCAGGCGGGGGTGTTGTGAACATTAAATAATTTAATACATACACTTGTCCTTGTGGCTGATGAAAGCACCCGCTGTTTGGATATCACTGGTAACCAGCTTCAGGTGATGGATCCATACACACAATGCTCCCATCCCTGATTTCCTGCCCTCAGATGACACCCAGTCCTTGGCCTTCTGTGGCAGCCCCACACAGCACACCTGTCCTTACCTGGAGGCCCTTCAGGTCCAGGGATAGGGCGAGGTTGAGGAGGTAGGGAACGGGGATTATACCTCAAGGCGATGCTTACCTGTGAGTCCCAACAGCAGAGGCAGCAGCAGGTAAGAAGGAGGATGGGGCCCGGAGGCAGGGGCTGACATTGTGGAGGTCTGGGGATCCTGCTCTGTGCAAATGTGTGTGCTGGGGAGAATAGGCCCTCTGTTCTGTAGAGAGGAGAAGCCTGTCTCCTCCCATGATTAAGAGGAAGTGCCCATGATGGGGTGACGTGGCTGTCAGTTAGCAATCTGTTTCTAGATTGTGAAATAGAAGTCAGGCAGAGAAGGCCTCCCTTGCTGAGGGATCCTGTCACATTTCAGAGAGAGTGGAGAGGCCCGGGAGATCATGCTTCCTCCCTGCACGGGGCCTCTCCCCACTCTTGAGGCCCCAAGTTGGGTATAGAGATTACCGAAGTCAAATGGAGCAATGTTTTCTTTTATAGATTGTGCTTCCTGTGTCTGATCTAAAATGTCTATGCTAAACCAAGGCCATGAAATTCAGTTTTGTTTTTTTCCTATAGTTTCTTCTAGAAGTTTTATAGGTAGCCTTTCAATTTACGTCTATGATCCATTGATCATATTAAGTTGTTCTTAGTATTTTTGTGTATACTGTATAGTCACATTATGATAAAGTAATATTTTTTAGACAATATTGTTTTGTTTATGTTATAAGGAAACAGTCAAGAATCTTCTCCTTCTTTCTACATATGAATATCTAATTGTTCCAACACTATTTGTTGTAAAGACTATCCTTTCCACATTGAGTTGCGTTGGCACATTTTTCAAACATCTCTTGACCAAATAGGTATTATGTATGGGTCCAGTTCTTTTTTATTCATGCCAGGGCAAATTTTATTTCGGAAACATTTAAAAAATTTTTATTTTTAGGGTTGACATACAGTGCTGTATTAGTTTTAGGTGCACAACACAGTAATTTGACAATTCTGTGCATTATGCAACACTCCCATGGTATGCCTAGTCACTATCTGTCATCATGTAACATTATTCCAATACTGTTGACTGTATTTCCCTGTGCTGTTCACTTAAACCTGGGGTTTATAGGGCAAAGTAGTTTTTTGTTTTTTAAGTTTTATTTAAAGTGTAGTTAGTTAACATACAGTGCAAGATTGGTTTCAGGGGTAGGTTTCAGTGATTCATCAATTATATTCAACCCCCAGTGCTCATGATAACAAGTGCCTTCCTTAATACCCCAAAGCCATTTAGCCCACCCCCAACCCACCTTCCTTCATCAACTTTGAGTTTGTTCTTTATCATTAAGACTCTCTCATGGTTTTATTCCCTCTCTTTGTTCCTTCCGCTCATATATGTTCATCGCTATTATTTCTTAAATTCCACATATGGGTGAAATCATATGGTGTTTTTCTTTCTTTGACTTTCTTTAGCTTAGCATAATACATCTAGCTCCATCCACATCATTGCAAATGACAAGATTTCATTTATTTTGATGGCTGAGTAATAATATTCCAGTGTGTGTGTGTGTGTGTGTGTGTGTGTGTGTGTGTGTGTGTGATCTTTTTGGTTTATATTTGCAACTTAATTGTATCAAGAATTTAAAAATTGATATTGAAGGATTTAACACAAATACAGACTCCTTACCAGTTTATTAATCCCAGAAATGATAAAGGTTGAAGGAATAGGGAGAAATTCTTTTCATATATGTGTATATATTGCATAGTTATTACAATATTGAATAGTTTACTCGAAAAGAGTTACTGAAGTCCTTCTATACCTAGACCATATACTAGATTAATAGATACACAGAGAGAAATCAAATAATAGTTCTGTTCTCCAAAAGAATCACCAACATATGACAAACTTCCAAGATATATCACTATATTTCTCTATTGGCTTTTTGACAGTTTGCAAGAAAACACATCATCCCTGGAGAAGTGGCACTTACGCGTCTGACAGAGCTAGACAAATAGATTCAGTCATATGCTTGGTTCAAATGTGGATAGAATCTCTGCACATGGCAGGTAATAGCTACCAAGTCCGAGGAGGGTGAAGCTGGAACATTGTCCCTGTAGGGGGAACTGACACAGCCCAGAGAAAGCAGACAATTACTATAGAAAGTCCACTGTGGGAGCCTGGAAATTCCTGGAGATGGGTCATCTGCCCAGGGTCTGCCCCAGTGGAGGATTCAGGTACTTGTTAACAGATTCCTGCATAGGTAAATGCATGGCTGAATGAGAGTGTGCTTTGAGTGAATGCATGCTTGATGCATGGTCGGATCGAGGGATGCATGCAGAAAAGAATGAATGGGGTTGATGAAAGCCTCAGAATCTTGCTCTGTCCTTTTTTTTTTCCACTTTGGCCATGTAAGATGCAAAGATGAACATTAAATACCATTTAAAAACCTACAGGTCAGGTGACTCACTCTACGATTTGGTAATTCTAACATTTTAAGATTCACAGACTCTACATCTTTTTGACTCCACGATACTGAGATTTTACATAGGAAGGAACCAGGATTTGGAGAGGTTCAGTAATCTGCCCGAGGTCACAAGTGGCAAAGCTGGGGTTACACCAGACACAGCTAGTTTTACTGTCCTGCTAGTCAGACACCCCAACTTTCAGGCTCTATCCATTTATGATTCCTGGCTTCTGAAATTATGATCTAACGACTTCTAGAACTCTTTTCAAGTGGATTTTCAGCTGTGCAGTAGAATGTATTCACAATGAGGAAAAACGGCATGATTGTTAAATACTATAAGATGTTATATATTTCAGTAGAATTCATATGAAGTCACAGTATGACATAGGCTAACACTAAGCCAAAGGCAGGGAGACTGGGTTGTGGTCCCTACACTGACACCACAGCCCAATGCAGGGAAATGGCAGGGAAGCCACATGTTTCAGCTTGAGCGAAAGATGTGAATGTTCCATGGCCAGTGGATGGCATGGAATGTGATTGGACTTGAGAACATTACTGAGGAAAGCTAGTTTTCCCAGAAGAACAGACGGACACCCTAATGACACTGTATTTGATGAAATTAATGCAAATTGAGCAGCAGGAAACACTGGTTGTCCTCAGAGAATCAGAGAACAGCAGAGCTGAGGGTAGACCAGGGCAGACCAGGGAAGGATCAAGTGCCAGGAGAGAGACTCAACCCCTCCGGGACAACTAATCCAAACGAGACCTGGGAGCGGGTGACACACGAGAACCTTCCTGCGGGTGTCTTGGCTCCCCAGAAGCCATAGGAGTAGACCACAGCCACGTGTGGATTTCCCGTGTGGGGATCGATGTCTTGACTGCGTTGTGGTGACCCTTCAGGGAGCTGTCACCAGGCCCCGATGACATTCCAGTTAGAAATGAGTGAGTGGAATTGCGCAGGCTTGTAGAGGTTCTGCCTGCCTTTGGATCCCTTTGTTTTGTCTCAGGAGATACTAAGCTTGGGGGCTACCTTTCCCCGTGTGGAGATCCCATCCAAATCCAGAGGATTATATGGGGCTACAGTGTCTGTGATTTAAGTTTGGAGTCAGGAAGTAGGCCAAAAAAGACACAATGCATATTCTCGAGCTCAGCTTTGTCCCTAAACCTCAGAAAGGCCAGGCAGACTTGTAGGCTCAGTTTAACAACTTTTTGGACCATTCGGTGCACACATGTAGTTGCGTTTAACCTACTTGACTATCTTTTGAGTTTGGACTTTTTCTGGCCCTGTGTTCATGTTTTGGTAGTTGGGTCATCACAAAGGGCATGGTCTGTCACAGGGCTTCATTCAAGAGTGGGCACAGGGCCCAGTCTGAAAGAAGAGCCATGTATAGAATCCCAGCCTACAAGGTTGTTTGTGGGTGAAGGGGCACGGTGTCCAGTGCGTAGTGATGATTTGGTACATGCTTCAGATTTTGAAACATTTAGTTTTACAAACCTAGGGGATGGAGTTTCTCAGGCTGTACTCACCGTTCACAGACACAAGGGGCTTGAACCAGATACCTACGACACATCAGGGTGCCCTGTTGTTAACTTCACATGGTAATAGGTGCCCCCATCCTTGGGTGACACATCACTGATGTGGATGGAATGGTCTGTTTGGTTGACCTCTGTGTTTTCCACTTGATTTACTTGGGGGAATGGGCTTCTGGAGGAAGGGAGTGGAGAGATTCTAGAAATGCTCTCAGAAAGTGATGGAACCAGCATGTTGGCTTGTATGTCACACCGGAATGGGCTCTACTCAAGCACAATGCTTGTGTCTGGAGACTCTCAGCCCACACAAGACTGATGACCCTTAATGTCCACGAGTCCATTGCCATGCACTTACTGCCAGGGCTATTTTGCAACTGGTTCATTGTGAGCCCTGTCTCCTCTTAGGGATCTACAGGATGTTAAGTTCAGGAGGGTGGTTGAGCAAGAGGAGCATGCAGAGCAGGCCGAAACTGCCCATAGGAGATGACAAGACTCCCCTCTCCCAGGGATGTCACCATCCTCTCACATTGTCCTGGAATGACGATTTCCATGCTGGGAAGCCATCCATGGCCCCTACTGAGCATCTTTCCTGCAGCCTCCAGCATCTCCCCCTTCCTCCAACCTCCAGGAGACTTCACACCTTCCATCAGACTCTAACCTCTTCAGAGACTGGGATATTTCATGCCTTGATGGTCAAGGGCAGTGGATTTGTAACCAGATGCAATCAAGGTTCTAATCTTGAATCCACTTCTTGGTGACTGACCTATATATCTTTTGACTTTGAGATCTTCATTTGTATAGTTCAAATATTCAACCCTGAGCTCATAGTCTGCACTCAGACATTCTCCTACTCTTTCCACCCTGTTCAGTATGTTGGCACATCCTCTATCCATTTGGTCAAACCAAGAAGTAACCCATGTTCTGCATCCTGACTTGTCCACTTTCATCTGCCTGCTAGAGGCCCTGTTAGTTTTACCTCCTAAATATCTATTTTACCTCCTAAATATCTATTTCTCCATCTCCATCATCATCGCTTCCCTCAGTGAAAACTATTACTTCCTAATAGGCTACCCCCATCTTGTTTTGCCCGGTGTAAGCTCTACCTTCTCCTTTGTCCAAGATGTTTTCTACAACACACATCTGATTATACTCCTTCTTGCATAAGCAGTTTTGTGGTTTCTCATTGCTTTTATATACCCAGAGTGTTTGGTATATGATATATGGTATATTTTGTAAGGTATATGGAATATGGGATGTGGTATGTGTTATATGCATATGGTATGTGGCAGTGTAAACAATCCATTCTTCCAGGAGTGGCTTGGTCCCTAGAGACAAAAGGATCCCCATCTTTTTCTGGTACTGGTCACAATGTCTTGTTCACCTTAGCTTCCCTGGGCAACAGATGTTGTGATGAATATTAACAAGCAGGTCATTTTCAGGGAGTACTTTTTTTCCTTTTTTTTTTTTTCAACGTTTTTATTTATTTATGGGACAGACAGAGACAGAGCATGAACGGGGGAGGGGCAGAGAGAGAGGGAGACACAGAATCGGAAACAGGCTCCAGGCTCCGAGCCATCAGCCCAGAGCCTGACGCGGGGCTCGAACTCACGGACCGCGAGATCGTGACCTGGCTGAAGTCGGACGCTTAACGGACTGCGCCACCCAGGCGCCCCCAGGGAGTGCTTTTAAGAACAAACCTGTGGAGGGGAGCAGAAGGGAGCAAGAATGTTTAGAAGAAGCTGATCTGCAGTGAGGTCTCAATGGCAACCTCAGCTGATCTCCCGTGTGTTCCAGAGTTAGGATGTTACCAGGGATGACCTTGGGCATGGTAGCTCTCCTCACCTGAGGCCATCCTAAAGAGGGTGACAGGAGAGGGCCACGTCCTGAGACCTGGTATATCACAGCATCCACCTTGCTCTGCAGAGCCCCTTCCAACTCTGTTCCGTGGGTTCAGGACATGGATTAAGTGCCCCCCACATCAGGTCTTAAAACTACCCTGGGGACCAGAGTTCTCTGTTCACACCTGGACTAACCTGGGCTTTACTACTTGGAAGCATTTAGAATGAGTATCATGGGGGACTGGGATTCATCTCCTTCTGAGATCTCGGAGTGCCTGGCTCTCGAGTGAGCTCTGGCAGAGGACAGAGGAAGGAGGAGAAGGAAGCCCAAACCCGAAGTGAAATGAAACCTGAATATTAACACGAAATCTCCCCACCATTTCTTTCCTTAAATTTTCCCCTAAGGGAGCTCAAGAGGCAGAGAGTCAGCTGAAGACAAGATGTTGCAATTTTTTTTTTAATAGACTTAATTTTGTGAAATGGTTTTACATTTAGAAAAAACTGCCACAGTCATACAGAGTTGCAATATACAGCTTCACACAGTTTCCCCTCTTATTAATGTCTTACAGTAGTACGGTACATTTGTTACCATTAATGAATCAATATTGGTACCTGCTCATTAAGCAAAGTTCATAATTTATTAGATTTTGTCTTGGCTTGTGCTGCTGTAAGAAAACACCATAAACTGGATGTCTTGCACAACAGGAACCAATTCCTTCCATTCTGAATCTTGGAAGTCTAAGATCAGGGTGCCAGGATATTGGGGTTGTGATGTTTGTTTACCACAATTGCAAAGCAGGTGGTTATGTTGTCTCCTGGTCCCCCTGCCCCGCGATGAACCCGGGTGACATTGTATGAAAGTAAAAAATGAAAAAAGGGGATGGGGACCAAACTGAACGTGTGTAGGAGAAATGAGAAGAGCTGAGGCTGGAGCTGAAGTTCAAAGTCAATGTGAGTGGGGTTCATCAAGACACAGAGACCTTCATGGGAGTGCTGCCAGGGGTACCGTTTCCAGAGTCTAGATACGCAGCCAGAGGAGGAGAGTGAATGCAAACTTACCACGTCACTGAGGAAAGTGGGAGGGGTGGGGAGACGATGTCCTAGAAGTTGTGACACCAGAAAATGTTCACGAATATGTTGTCAGGCGTTCACAGCATTGGAAGTGCAGCAACGTTGCAATCTAATCCCAATGGAGAAGCAGGTGCGATCATTGAGATGTTTGTTTTCTTGTAAACTGTGCAGTTAGTTACAAGAAGGCAAGCACTCTCCAAACTACTCTAGGTAAGTCTTTAAAAAAAATAAACCTCACTTCCCTTTTCAAGGTTTCTTTTTTTTTTAATTAAAAACATTTTTTAATGTTTTTTTTTGGTTTGTTTTATTTTTTTAAGACAGAGAGAGCAAGCCAGGGAGAGGCAGAGGGAGGGGGAGAGAGAAATCCCAAGCAGCCTCTCTGCTCTCCAGCCAGAACCCAATGAAGGGCTCGAAACCATGAACTGTGAGATCGTGACCTGAGCCAAAATCAAAGAGGTGGACGCCTAACTGACTGAGCCACCCAGGCGCCCCACCTTCCAACGTTTCTAATGTTTCAAATGAGTGTTTACCAAATGGATAATAGTTTTACTGTCTTTTCATGTCTCTGTACATTCATAACTGGCAGTTGGGGGGGTCCCAATGTGTTGAAAAATGTTTCTAAAGTTCATAGAAAAATTGTTGCTTTTCCCTCTGATTATTGAGATCACGTCGCCTGGTTTTAACTGCACCCGTCATTGTTTGGTCCTGCATCACTGTGCAAGTGAGCACTGTCTCCATTTATCATGTTGGCTGGTCTTAAGTTCTAGGAAAAGAAATAAGTTCAGGTATGAGCTGTGGGAACAAAGAGTGAGAGACAGAAATTGATATTTTATGTGGGTAGTTTAAGGAAGGTGTTTTTAATAAAGTGACATGACTGGAGAGCTTGAAAGAGGGAGAGACCGAGCCATGCATATCTGTAGGGGGAAGAAACAGAGGAAGGATACAATCGGACTTCCGTTTCCGTAGGATCACTGTGGCTGAACCCGGAGAGTCTGTTAGGGACGCGGCAATGGTCCAGGAAGGGATGCTGGTGGCCAGGACCAGGGGGTAGTCTGGGAGCGAGCAGTGTGCAGGTGCTGGGTGGAGCTCCCTGGTGGGCGGGAGGAGAGCTCGCTCCTGAGAGCTTTCCAAGAATTTTGCAAGCTAGTTGTTCCACTGTTGGCAGCTTGAAATTGGCCACGTTGGGAGTGTAGATGCCACAGAAGTGGACAAGCACCACAAATCGGGCTTCTTTTTCTGTCCAGACGTAGATGGTTTAACACCGTCTGGTCGCTGGACATACATTAGGAAGGCAGATTTGAAATGGGATATAAAGAAGGAAATCAAGGAAGGCTCCTGTCTTCTGTACTGCCAGCGTGTGTACATGAGCAGGGGGGTTGGGAAGGATGAAGGTGACAGAAGAGCCAGTGTTCCCATCACAGGGAGAGGAGGGAATCTTCTCTCTGGGATTGAGGGATAGGGCAGGTAGGCAAAGAGGAAGTAGGATTCTTTTTTCCCCTTCAAACCAAGATGGGATACGTTTAAATTTTTTTTTTCAACGTTTATTTATTTTTGGGACAGAGAGAGACAGAGCATGAACGGGGGAGGGGCAGAGAGAGAGGGAGACACAGAATCGGAAACAGGCTCCAGGCTCTGAGCCATCAGCCCAGAGCCCGACGCGGGGCTCGAACTCCCGGACCGCGAGATCGTGACCTGGCTGAAGTCGGACGCTTAACCAACTGCGCCACCCAGGCGCCCCAAGATGGGATTCGTTTATATTTAAGAGGGATTGAAGAACCTTACCAAGGCTGGGGAGATGGGGGTTTGGCAGGAATAACCTGTTGGAGCATGGACTTGAATGTGTAGTTCATGACCACCGTCCCCAGAAGATGGATGAGAGATAGACTGGTGTGTGTACCAGGACTTGCTTCTCTCATTCTAGTAAGATATCCATGTGTCAGTCTCCACAGACGTTCCCATGGACCCTGCTCCGGAATAGGTGTGAAGACCCAGCTCTGGGGGCATCGAGGTCTTTGAGGAGGAACAGCAGGAACTGTGGGCATTTGGGTCTCTGGGGAAGCAGGCATCTGGGGCAGGGTTGTGGAAGCTTCTAGTTGTTCCTTGTCTTAGGCTGGGCCCCTCAGGGAAGGAAGGAGGCAGCAGAGACCGAGGATGGCATGTAGCAGGGGAGGAAGGAAGGAGCCGTGGACCCATGTTCACATTTGATTATCTGCTCATCATTCCAGAAATGTTCTCCCCGTGTCTCCTATGTCCTCGGTGCTATTTTCCTCCCGGGTCACCTGTAGTGAGAGGGCAGAAAGTCCCTGACATGGACTGTGCCTCCTCAGGCTTCTTCCCTAGGTCCTGATCCCCCTTCCCCATCCTTTCCAGTCTGTCCCACGGAGGGTCAGAGCGAGAGCCGTCCTCAGAGCAGCCAGCGGGCACCTGTCAGCATTCCTCTAAATGTGGACACCTTGCGCCCAAATAATCTAGAGATGGTTTCTGTGGGGTTTCCCACCCAGGTGTTGCTCACTTAGCCCACTCCCTTCCCAGAAGCTGTAGGTCTCTCTGTACATCCTTTCATAGCCCTTGACCCCATCCACCTCTTACAGGGCCCAATAGTCATCCTGGGAGTTGGGAACCTCCCAGAGGGATCCCTGAGGCTCCAGAGGGTATGAAGGGAGGTGTGTCACCTGCTCTTTATTCCAGGTGGGCGCTGACCCTGTGTGACCTGCGGGCTGCCCCTTCCACTGACCTGGCTCCTTCTGGGACTGACCTAGCCCTGTCCTCCTTGTCCATAACTCACCAGTCAATCCGTTGCTTCCTGTGGCCATAGATGGCAGAGACAGAGACAAGCAGCAGCAGCTTGGGGCCCAGGAAGAGAGCCACCAGGAGTGGAGTGGACAGTTCTCGATCTGGAAATGAAGGGACAGGAGGCAGCATCAGAGAGGGATCCAGGAGTCCACTCCCAGGGGCCTCGACTTACTCCAGCTGAGGGAACCTGCATCCATCTCTGCTCTGAAGCTCATGAATTTCCCCTGTGAGAGGCTTGAGGCAGAATTCAGGATAAGAAGTACCTCATCTTGCTCACCTCTGCTCAGGCTACTGGGTGTCCTTCCTGAGGGAAGGGCTGGAGACATGAGCACTCAGTAACATGTAAGTGAGGTTTGCTGACTTGTTCCCCACACCCAATGGGGCAGGTCTGACACTCTCTTCTGAGGAGGGAACAGGCTCATAGTTTACTGAGGGTCACAAGATGAGTGGGACTCTGCTGTCCTTAGGATGAATCTGAGACCTTGTGTTTGGACTAGGACAGTCCAACCTCTCAGGGTCATAGGAACGAATGTCAGCCTGGCCTCAAGTAGAGGAAGGACAGTGTCAAGGTGAGCAGGGTGCAAGTCTGCCCTTCCTTGTTCCACACGCGAGCCTCGATGACCCCATGTTCTTGTGCTGAGGGAGCCCTCGGGGTGGCCTGACCTCACAAGACCTGCTGGCTGGAGAACACCCTGGTTAGGAAAGGAAATGGGGTCTAAACCTGGGAGGGGCTTCAAACAGCATCCCGCGCCCCTGGACCCCCGTACCAACATCAGGTAATAACATCGTTCTTTTGCACGTAGATCATTGGGTCTGCATGCATAACTTCAGATTCTTTGCCTTTTTACAGTGACTGGATTTTGCTCTTAGATTTACATCAAGAAATTCAAATACGTTTTTGAAATATATGGAATAATCTTAGAGGAAGGAGCAAAGACCCACCATTTTTACCCCTGGTGTGTCGGGGGACGGCAGGTCTCAGCTGGGCGGCCCTCTGGAATTTTTTCTCAGTTGAAAAAGCTGCATTGCCCATGTTTGCACCTGCTGCAGAGGGCAGCGTGCAGCAGAGGACTGGAGGAAGTTGGGGTACAGAGGTTTTGCCCCTCCGCTCCATTTAAAACAAGTCAAAAATAGCATCCAGTTCGCCTGTTCTCTGTGCAAGTATGACTTTTCTGTGCTGCATTGTGTTCAATATCTCCTTTTGCCAGTCTTGCCTCCTTCTCTAACTCATACCTGTGAATGGGCACCACACCACAGTGAGGTTTCTTCCTTCTCATATGATGTTAGAGTTTGCTTCCCAATACAGTTGACCTGTGGAGTTTGTCTAGGAGGGGTCTGGAAACCCAGCTCTAATGTGCAGATACCGACCTGAGTCTCAATCAGCAGGCTGGCCAAGAGGTCCCCTGCCTGGTGGGCAGAGGAACAGGGGAAGGTCCCAGCTTTCCCTGCTATTGTCACTGCTAAAAGCTTACAGTGGTGACCTGGGATGGAGTAAGTAGAGGTGGGGGGTAACCTGGTAATCTGGAAATCGGCTGGGAATTATAAGAACTATTGGGTGGATGGGTGTTGCTGAGCATCAACCCTTCAGGGAAAGACAATGCAGACAGAACTCAGACTGGTTGATCTCTCATGATAGGTCATGTGTGAAAGAGGACTTTCGGGCAACATCGTAGACTCCCACCTATTAGATCCCAAGGGCAGAAAAAGCTGAGGGCATAATTGGGTCCAACATAATTATAAGAATATTGGTGCTACAAAGAGGATTGAATTCTCAGCTGCAGTATACTGCTCTGCTAGAACAGGGCCGTGACGGGGAAATACGGGAGACAAGCACTGATGTGGGATAGGGACTTTGGGGACAAGGCATTCAAAGCCCTCAGGGCACTTGTGTCTGCTGAGGACAAGGCAGCAGCTTAGCTACTCATCTCTGAATACAGCTTCTGAACCCAAAGAAAAAAACAACCAAAGGACAGAAAATTCTATGGAAATCTGGCTTTCAGAAGTCCTTGAAGAGCAATGGCCAAACTCCAAAAAGTCTGGGAGACAAAAGGGAAATATCACACAGTCTGAAGGCACAATATCTTACACTGTCTGCCCTCGCACCCTCACCAGCCATGGGAAAGGGCAGGTGAAGAAGACAAGGGCAGTTATACAAGATGCCAGAGAGTTTTTTTTTAGAAATCCTACTGCCAATATTAAACCCAACTTCAATGAGAAAATATTGGAAATGTGTCCTGCACATCAGGACACAGACCACAGAAAATAGTGTCAAAGTATGCCTGACTTAAGACGGTTGGCCCAGATTCCCCAGAGTCTGTGGTCCCTGACATGGCAAGGTAGACTGTGTGGCAACCAGCCATGGTCTTGAGTGGGTCATTATCTTGGACTATCGGAGTGGAGCCAACAGAATCACAGAGACCTTTACAAGTGAAGGAGGGAGGCAGGAGAGTGGGAGCAGGAGGCATATTGACCGCAGCAGAAATAGGTCAGGAACGGGACCCTAGGCACTGGAACAGCAAGGACCCAGACTCTCCCCCTGTTCCCCCAGATGGAATGCAGCCCTGCCAACTCATTGTAGACTGTCTGCCTCTAGAAGTGGAAGAAAAAAATTGTGTGGTTTGAAGCCACTAAGCGTGTGCTAATTATTACAGCAGCAATAGGAACCTGATGCAGGGGGGCAGGGAAATTTAAAAAGATAGATGTGCACGAAGGGGGCAGGCATGATTTAAAATGCATGACTTTGGGGGAAAGACAAACGAGATTCAAGAGGTGCTGTTTCAAAGTTGAGTGGTGAAGGGAAGAAGGAAAAATGGGACCAGGCACACGTGGCATCCTAAAAGAAGAACAGAAAGATCACAGGACTCAGAACCTCTCTCCTCCAAATCCCCAAACCGGCCAACCAACCCCTTTAACACACCCGGTGATGCTATACTGAGAGAACAGAGGTCTCTTAAACTAGAAGTGTTATAAAATACCTCAATACCATAAACGTGAACCGAAAGATGTGCATTCTTATTCCAACCCGTTGGGCCAATTATCACAGTGACTGGAGCCCTGGGATGCCCAGGGGAGGCTGTGGCATCCTGGTGCAGCAGGTTCACATAGGCATCCAGCTCTCCAACCCAGACAACCCTAATGTCCCTTTCCGGTCTTCGCACACAAGCAAGTTTGCTAGTTCAGGCACACTGGAAGCACCAGAAGTAACAGCCCTGGTATGAGTTCTAGTGCAAGGCCAAAGACTAAAAACCTAACCCAGGCCAGTCCAGAAGAGGTGGTGTTGATTTGCCTCTTCCTGCCTTCCTGGTTCAGTATAAGACTGACCCCTGGAAATCATATGAGGTCCAAGAATAGGAGGACTCTGAAAGGTGGAAGAGGAAGTCAGGCAGCCTAGATGCCGGCAGTCTGGAAGAACACAGCACCAGGTATCCTGGCTCCACACTCCTGACTCCCCAAGTGCAGAAGGAAGTCCAGGCATTCAAACAAAGAAAGACTAGTATCAATCATCCTAGCTCCCATTTCAAAAAATGAGGAGGAGCAAAATAAACCCCAGTCAAGCAGAATGGGGAAAAAAAAGAGGAGAAAAAACAATGAAATTGAAAATACACAATAGAGGAAATCACCAAAACAAAAGAGTTTGTGGAAAAGATCAATAAAATTGAAAAACTTCTAGTAATTCTGACAATGAAAAAAAAAAAAGGGATATAGTTCCGATATCAGGAAAGAAATATGATATCACTACAGAGCCTACAGACATCAAAAGGATGCCAAGGTAATATGATGAGAACTCTGTGAGTAGAAATTGGACAACTCAAGAAAATGGACCAGCTTCCTCAAGCATCCACAAGCATCCAATATGAAATGAAGAATTTGAGTAGCCCTAGCTATTCATACTCTCTCTCTGTATATATATGTCTGTATATATATATATATATATATATATATATATATATATATATGTAAAAAGGAATTGTGGAGTCCCATGTGGTTTCACAGGAAAGTTTTTGCAAGCATTTCGAGATGAAATAAAACCAAGTTTGGTACACAGAATAAAGTCTTAGAAGAAATTTTGGAAAATCTGAATATAGGTTCCATTTTAGCTGATAGTGGGAAATTACTGGTAATTTTACAAAGTATGTAATGGTACTGGCTTTGTTGAAAAACGAAAGTCATTAATCACATGACCACACAATTATGGACTCCATTTGCAACTGGATATGCAGCCATGACTGAGTCATTAGTGGACGCAGTTAGGCAGTACCTCTAGTGTTAAGAGAAGTTGTTCTCCCCTTCCTATCTCTCCTCTCCTAGTTGGCGGGGTCATGGACACTCAGTGACCCAGTGTTGACCCAGCAATGAGGACAGTGTCATGGGGTATGTTAGAAGGAAATGGGCCTTTGAAAGGTCTTCTGGAACAAAGACTCCTGGAAACATGGCTCAAACTCCTCCATATATTATAAGAGCGAGATAAGATAGAATTTGGTCATAGAAAGGGGACCGGTAGGTCCTTGGGACAATGCCCAGCTGTTTTCTCTAACACATTTGTTGTATAGGCTGGTGGTCCCTGTCCTCGGGGACTCAGGTTTCTCTTGATTGGTTTAGCCCATCACCTGGACTAAGGGCAGGACATCTTCTCCATCTGTCCCCCATTGCTCCCTGAGTCGGTTCTGTAAACTTCCAAGCTCCCAGGGTGGTTGTAGCAGGAAGAAGAACAGAAATGAACTGGAATTGGCATCAAGTAAATGTGCAGTGAGTAATCATGATTATTGCTGGCCTGTTGTCCCAAAGCAGGGGACAAAGGTGGTTTGTGTTGTGAGCTTCCATGGTCACCAGGGAGTCTGGTCCAGACTCAACACTCTGTCCTCAGGGTTCCCGTCCAGAATTTCAGAGTGGCAAGTGCAGACCTTTGCTGAGAAGGGGTTAGAAGGGTGTAAGAAGGATCGATATGAAGCCCAGGTGAGAACGAACAGAAGGAGGAGGTGGCTGGCCTGGCGTGGTGACATAATTACTGTCAGGTGAAGGTGCAGGAGGCAGGATGCTAGCGACAAGATCATCTCCCTCCCTCTGTTTCCTTCTCTAATGCATGTTTCTGTCAAAAGATCTAAAAAGCTATGTACCAAAATCTTAACAGTGGTCACTCTTGGAGCATGAGCTTTGGGGAGGGAAGCTCATATCAAAATTCTACTTTATGTCTGTAGACCTCTAGATTATTCTATAATAGGCATGAATGACTGCTTTTCACATAAAAAAAGAAAAGATAGAATTTAAAGTGCCAGGTCAGTTGGCATCTCGGACTCACCATGGGTCGTATGGGCTTCCTGGTCCTTCTGGTGGGCAGAGACCACAAGGGTATGGGTTTTGGTGACCTCGGGCTGCCTGTCTTGCTGCACCTGGCAGGTGAAAACCACATCTTCCCTGTGGGCGGATAAATTCACCAGGAGCCAGCTCGTCCAGTTAAAGGTCCCATCCTTGTTCTCTATGAGGGTCGAGGCCGTCGAGGCCATTTCTGTTTGGGACACGTGTCCGTTCTCCAGCCAGGTCAGCTGGAGGCGCTGGGGGTAGAACTTCTTCACTTGGCAAATGACCTTCACCTGGTCCCCTGTCACGGGTTGCTGGGCAACCTCCAAGGTGGGGGGAACTGAAACAGCACAGAGTAGAAGCTCTGACCTCATGGAACAGACACATCACCGGGGAGGGGCTCGAGAACTTAGCAAGGGAATCACCCAGATCAGTGCTAGGCATACAGCTGGTGCTCAAACACTCAGGGTAGGCTTTGCATGCGAATGAAATCCCCTAAGCACAGTGCCCAGTACACAGTAGGTGCTCAAGGTACCTACTGGTAGCTGCTATTAGGGTAATGATGAGTGAAATCGAGCCCCCAGCATGCATTTGGAATCGAATAACTAGCAAAATCCATGAAGTCACCAAGCACACAGTGGCTGGATTACAGTAGGTGCTCAATAATTGGAGTGGCTATGGGAAAGTAAATCAAACTACCTAGCACGGTAGGTGTTCACCCGGAACTGCTGTTAAAACAGGAGGAGGTGACGGTACCCCTGGGTGCCCGGTGATTGGGAGGGTCTGTCGGGAGGCAGGTTCCAGGGGATGGAAGGCTGGGAGCACGGAGTGGGAGAGGGGCAGGCTGGGAGGCTTGGGGGCCGGAGCTGGGCTTGGGCCGGGGGTGACGGGCATCTACCTCGGAGGGTCTCGGACAAGTTGGCAGTCCCACGAAGAGGAGGGCCCCCCTGCAGGGTCACGTGGGCCACCTCGCAGATGACCTGGGAGCGAACGTCCCCCGGGGCCAGTGGCAGCGTGGTTGTGCTGGAGATGCTGTAGGAAGCGCTGTCTCCCTCTGGGTCCACGGTGGTCTGGGAGGCTGCCAGCTCCTTCCCGTTTTTGAACCATTTCAGGGTGACGTTTCTGGGGGAGAAGCCGTGGGACTCGCAGGTGAAGCTCACAGTCTGCTCAGGTGTGGCCCTGGCCGTGGGGCCCGACACCACGGGGGGAGATGGTTTGGCTACAAGAGGAGCATTTACGAGCAGTAAGCATGACTCTGGTCATCCTCAGCAATGACAGGTATGTGACACTGTGCAGAACCCTCGCATGGATTATTTTTTAGCCCTGCTGATAGTGTTGGGAGGGCGGTGTCGGAGACTGACTGAGTCAGGGGCAGGGCCTGCGTGCAATTCCAGCCTAAGTTCAAAGTCCCCCTTGTCTTCTCTGCCAGGGGACCTCCCACCAATCTGGGCACAGGAAGGACATTTCTGGTGGGTGTCACTCTCAGTCTCCACCTCCTCCTCCTACAGTACCCAGAACAGAGCTTGCGCATAGCAGGTGCTTAGTAAATGCCTAGTGTGGAGGATTCTGGACACATCGACATGAGTGCTATTTGGAGGCAAATGTGAGGATGGGCCTTGTGACTAGCATGTCTCCCAGACTTTCAGTCTCTCATCCTGGGAACCAGAGGGCTGGTCAGGATTGAAAAAGGGAAGAGCTGGGAACCTGCAGACTGCGGTTCCAGATTTCCCCACCGTTTACCAGCCGTGGGGCCTTCAGCAAATAGCACAACCTCTCCAGGCCTCAACTTTCCTGATCCGTGGAAGGGGCTCATTCAGGGGCACCCGCCAAAGCTCCTGATCCTTATCTGCTGCTCAGACAGTGGAGGGCATTCTTACTGACTTGCCGTCACAACCAGGGGACGGAGCGATACTCACCGCTCACGGTGACCCGGGTGCCTGGTCCAGACTTAAACTCCACATCGGGGTTCCCTTTCTGGAACTTCACACAGTAGTAGGTTCCCGTGTCTTCTGGGGTGATGTTACTGATGCGGATGGAAAAGTCCATGTTGTTTCTCCTTACGGCGTCTGAAACATTTGTTACTCGAGGGGAGTGAGGGTCTCCTCTGAAACTGAAGATTAACTCCCGGCTTGGCCCTGTGCCCCTGAACCACTCGACCTTCCCAGCGGGGAGCAGGGAGGTCAGGGTGCAGTGAAGAGTGGCCGTCTGTCCGGCCGCCACAGACACCGACTTCTCGGGCTGGATCACCTGCAGTTCTGCCTCACCTGCCACACCTAGGGGGAGAACAAGACAGCGATTTACCATCCTTGTGTGATCCTGTCCGTCCGCTCAAGTATTTAACACAACAGCTCTCACTGAGTGCACACCGTGAGCTCAGCCCGCTGTGTGTACACGGCATGTAGCCCTCGTGATGAGCCTGTCACACGGGACCCTGTTACAGACGAGGAAAGCAAAACACAGAGAGATTCGGTGATGTGGCACACGGCAGGCGGACGGCCCCAGCCCTCTCTGAAAGCGTCGTGCTTCACCAAATGATCCTGCTTCTCTGTGTTCTGGCCCCTTGGGGTGTTACACTCTCTGATCTCTTGCATTCAGTGGGGCCATGAGACTTCTTTAGACCATTGTGTGTGAGCGGAAGTGATGGATGTAGTTTCTGGGCTGTGTGTTTAGCTCTGGAACCTCTATGGATTAACTTCTCTCTTCCACGAGCACATGTACAGGTGGGGGTCTTATCCATCAATCTGGATACGTGAGAGACAGTGATGGGAAGAGCTGCCAACACATAATAAACATGTAGCTAGCTAAATGAAAGGTAAAGGAGTGTTTAAAATACCTAAGTTTTTTTTTACTAGAAAGCAATCATATTATATTAAAATATTTCCTAATGCAGTGAAACAAATGATTAAAAATGTAGTGCCTGAAAACTGCATAAAGGTACGATTTTGTTATTCTGGAGATTAAGAGTCCAAAATTGGTGTTGCTGGGCTCAACACAAAGGGCACCTGAGCTGTATTTCTTCTGGATGTTGTTCCTTGCCATCCAAATTCTAGAAGCTGCCCACAATTCTTTTCATCTTCCCAATTTTCTATCATTCCAAATTCTCGCTTGTATTGTTACTTGTCATTCTCTAACTTTGACTTTCCTGCCCCCTTCTTATAAGGACTCTTGTGAATAAAATGGGGCCACGGTGATAATCTGGGATAATCTCCTCATGTCAAGAGTCTAACCTAATCATTTTGGCAGAATTTCTTTGGCTGAATAAAGAAAAATATTCACATTTTATGTATATTAAGATGTGGTCATCTTGGAGAAGCCATTGTCCTGTCTCCCACACATGTCTGCCCAGATTGTTACAGAAACCAGTTACCATAAAAAAATGAAACGAAACAAAACAAACAAACAAACAAAACCTTTGTGTGAGTCCAAATTACACAGGCTGAGAAGGCACCATACTGCAATCTGGAAGAAGGGCTTTTCAAGCAGTGAACTGGTGAGAGTTGTGAAATAAAACTAGAAATCAACAACAGAAGTGAAATTGAATCTTCTCCAATGTATTGAAATACAAGGACATACTCTTAGGGAAATTAGAGAACACCTTGAGATGAATGGAAATGGAAATACAACATGCCAAAACCTACACTCTGCACTGAAAGCCACCATGGAGGGAAATTTATATTTGTAATGCCGACATTTAAAGAGAGTAAAGATCACGAGTCATTAACAAGTATACAGCTTAATAAATCAGGAAAAGAAGAAGAATTAACACAAAGCAAGCAGAATGAAGGAAATAAAAAGGACTAATGTAGAGATAAGTAAATTGTGAATACATGAACAACAGAGAAAATCAGTAAACCCAAGAGTAGCTCTTCAGAAACCAACGTAGTTAACAAAACTTTAGCTAGATTGAGTAACAGAGAGAGATTGAGAAGATTTCATTAACTGAAATCAGATATAAGAGAAAGACATTATTAAGTATTTTTCTATAAATGCACAGGATTCTAAAAGAGTACATCGAATAATTGTACACCGATAAATTGGAAAACCTAGAGTAAATGGACAAATTTCTAGACACATACAATTTACCAACACTGAATAATGAAGACTAGAAAAATGAATAGAATATCGCTAGTAAGGAGTTTGAATCAATCAACAATTTCCCAACAAAGAAAAGCCCATGATCATGAAGATTCACTGGTGAATTCTTCCAAACACTGAAAGATAACACTAATCCTTTTGAAAGTATTCCCAAAAATAAAAGCGGTAGGAAGACTCCTAAGTTATTTCGGGTCATCCTGAGACTCATTCTCAGGGCAGTGTTATCCTGAGACCAAAGCCAACAAAGGCACTACAACAAAACTACAGACCAGTGTCTTGTCTGGATATTGATGCGACAATGCTTGACAAAACATTAGCAATTACAACTCAACAGCATATTAAAAGAATTATACACAATGACCAAGTGGGATTTCTTTCTGGAATGTAAGAAGGATTCAACATATGAAAATTATACAGTGTGATAGGCCACATTTATAGAATGAAAAAAAATAACATAGTCATCATTTGATGCAGAAAATTATTTGGCAAAAGTCAACCTTTTTATGATAAAAACAATAAAAAAAACTCAGAGTAGATGGAAGCTTACACAAAATATAAAGTCATATATGAAGAACCTATAGCTGACATCACCTTTGATGGTGGAAATCTGAACAAGGCAAGGATGCCTGCTTTCAGCACTTCCATTGAACACAATACTAAAAATCCTAGAGAATGCAATTAGGCAAGAAAAAGAAATAACATTCAAATTGCAAAGGAATAAGTGAAAGTATTTCTTTGCACATGACATGATTTCATGCGTTGCAACCCTAAAGTTTCCATGTGTAAAAACAGTTAGAGATAATAATGAAATCAGCTAATTTGTGCTATACAAAACCAACAGTCAAAAATCAGGTGCATTTGTATATGCTATTGATGAACAATCGTAAAGAATTTTGCAAACCATTCCACTACGCAAACATCAAAAAGTATAAAATATATAGGAATAGTTTGTGCACGGAGATCAAAGGCCTGTATGCCAAAAAGTACAAAACATTGTGGAAAGAAATGAAATGTGATATAAATAAATGGAAAAACAAATACCATTTGTGGATTGGAAGAGTTCATCGATACTACCTAAAACGATCTCCAGATTCAATACAATCACCTTTTTTTTTTTTTTTGCAAATTTCAGAAGCCCTTAAAAATTCATATACGATCTCAAGGGAGCGCAATCATCAAGCAATCCTTAAACAGAACATAGTTGGAGAATTCATATCCTTTTTTAAAAAATTTATTTATTCAAATTCAAGTTAGTTAATATACAGTGTAGTGTTGTTTTCAGGAGTAGAACCCAGGGATTCATCACTTACATATAACATTCAGTGCTCATCCCAACAAGTGCCCTCCTTGTTGGCCCTCACCCATTTAGCCCATCTCCCCACCCACCACCCCTCCAACAATCATCAGTTTGTTCTCGGCATTTAAGAGTCTCTTGAGTTTTGCCTCCCTTTCTGTTTTTATCCTATTTTTCCTTCCCTTCCCTATGTTCAATAAATGTGGAATTTATTTCTTAATTTCCACATATGAGTAAATCATATGATATTTGTCTTTCACTGCCCGACTTATTTTACTTAGCATAATACACCTAGTTCCATCCACGCTGTTGCAAATGGCAAGATGTCATTCTATTTGATCACCCAGTAATATTCTATTGTACATATACACCACATCTGCTTTATCCATTCATCAGTTGATGGACATTTTGTCTCTTTCCATAATTTGGCTATCGTTGATAGCGCTGCTATAAACATTGGGGTGCATGTGTCCCTTTGAATCAGCATTTTTGTATCCTTTGTATCAATACCTAGTAGTGCAATTGCTGGGTCACAGGGCAGTTCTATTTTTAATTTCTTGAGGAACCTACATACTGTTTTCTATAATGGCTGCACCAGTTTGCATTCCTGAAAACGCTACAAAAATGGTCCCCTTTCTCCACATCCATCCAACATCTGTTGTTTCCTGTGTTGTGCATTTGAGCCATTTTCCCAGGTGTGAGTTGGTACCTCATTGTGGTTTTTGATTTGTATTTCTCTGATGATGAGTGATCGTTAGCATCTTTTCATGTGTTTGTTAGCTATCTGGATTTTTTTTTTTTTTTTAAATATCTATTCATGTCTTTTGCCCGTTTCTTCACTGGGCTATTTGTTTTTCCGGTGTTGAGTTTGATAAGTTCTTTATAGATTATCTGATATGTCACTTGGAAATATCTTCTCACATTCCGTCAGTTGCCCTTTAGTTTTGTTGATTATTTCCTTCACCGTGCAGAAGATTTTTATCTTGATGACGTCCCAATAGTTCATTTTTGCTTTTATTTCCCTTGTGTCTGGAGACACGTGTAGTAAGAAGTTGCTGTGACTGAAATCAAAGTGGTTGCTGCCTGTTTTCTCCTCTAAGATTTTGATGGTTTTCTGTCTTGCACTTAGGTTATTCATTTATTTTGAATTTATTTTTGGGAATGGTCTAAAAGTGGTCCAGGTTCATTTTTTTGCGCATCGCTTTCCAGTTTTCCTAGCAACATTTGCTGAAGAGACTGCCTTTTTTCCATTGGATATTCTATCCTGCTTTGTCGAAGATTATTTAGCTATATATTTGTGGGTCCATTTCTGTGTTCTCTATTCTGTTCCATTGATCCGTGTGTTGGTTTAATGGGAGTACCATAGTGTCTTGATGATTCCAGGTTTGTAATAGAGCTGGAAGTCTGGACTTGTGATGCCTCCAGCTTTGGTTTTCTTTTTCAACATTACTTTGTCTATTCAGGGTCTTTTCTGGTATCATACAAATTTTAGAATTGTTTGTTCTAGCTCTAAGAAGGATGCTAGTGTTATGTTGATAGGAATTGCATTAAATGTGTAGATTGCTTTGGGCAGTATAGACATTTTGACAGTATTTGTTCTTCCAGTCCATGAAGATGGAATGTTTTTTCATTTCTTTGTGTCTTCTTCAATTTCTTTCATAAGCTTTCTATAGTTTTCAGCAAATAGATATTTTATCTCTTTGGTTAGCTTCAGTCCTAGGCACCTTATGGTTTTTTTTTTTTTTTTTAAATACAATTGTAAATGGGATTTATTCTTTGATTTCTCTTCTGCCGCTTCATTATTGGTGTATAGAAATGCAACCGATTTCTGTACATTGATTTTATATTCTGTGGCTTTGCTGAATTCATGATCAGTTCTAGCAAATTTTTGGTGGTATATTTCAGATTTTCCACATAGAGTATCATGTTGCTCTGAG